GGCTCGCTGCTCCCAGCCGGTTCGGAGGCTGAGCTCTGCTGGAGAGGGGATTCCAGATTTATGCAGAGAGAAATATTTAGCTTTGTGCTAAGATATGTTTTTGTTGCAGGCAATATGGTCCCCTTATGGCACAGTAGTCTTGGTACTCCTTATATTTCAAGAAGCTGACTTAATTGCACACTAAACATAATTCTCTGGTGGGAGTGGCAGTGCTATAGTAACATGCGATGGATTTGGCGTGTGAAGCACTTTTTAATTTACTTCCTACGTAGGTAAGCCTGAACTTTGAGAACAGGAGCTGTGAGGTCTTGCGAATTTGAAGGAGGACTGGACAGTTACCAGTTTCGCGTTCAGCAGATAAAGAGCTACTTGACTTTTTAAACTTTCTAGAATTTGGAAAATTAAAAATCAAATTCGCATGTCTTTGAAGGAGCTGTATTTTATGTTCACTGATTTCTTGTAATGAGAATGTTTTTCCATTTGGCTTAAAAGTAAGGAAGCGATGTTTGGTGATGAGTCACTTCGGATATTTCTCCAGATAGATTGGGTAGATAAGCTGCAGAGAGATTCAATGGACAAATAGCCCTCAGAGACACGCGTGTCCACTGGAATCCACTTAGGGAGCAGTGAGGGGTTTGGGATGTGATGCCACATAGCACCACTTAGCTTTGACATTGATAATCATACAGTGGTTTTTATTAAATCTTATCAATATAGCAGTAACTGTCTTCATCCCTCACTTCCTGTAGATATCTGTCAGCAAGATAACTTGGAGGGGATAAAAATAAGTTGTTAATTCCCAGAATATAGCTACAAGCAATGACTTTAGCAGTTATGGCAAGACGGTCAATTTAAACACTAACAGTGATTTCTATATATATATTTTTTAACCAGTCATACTGCATGGTGGTCAGTTTAAATGGAGATGTAGCTGTCCTGCAGTAATTGCTCTAATCAAAACGTCGGGAGCAAGCCCCCGCGCCGCATCGCAGGCTGTTGTTAGCAAGATGCTTGGAGCGCCTGTGGTCACGACCCTCCGCAGACCGGCCTCGCTGAGTCGGGACGCGTGGGCCATCTCTTTCCATGTCAGACCCCTGCCTTTACCGCCCCAGGACCCCGCGCTGTTTCCTTTGCGTTCCTCCTCTTCTACAGATGACTGCTGCACTGGAGTTGGAAAGAAAAGTTAATGGGAATGGAAAAATCCCTTTCAGCCTTACTGCCGTTATTGGTGTTTGTAGTGAAGTCTCGGAGACCTTGATTAGCCCTTGATTGCCTTCTGTGCCCTCCCTGATGCACCCTTTGGTGTTTTTCCTGGACCAGCCTGGTGTGCTGGGCTCTCTAGTTTTGTTTTAATGGATGGAGAGCATTTTGCTGTCAATCTCCAAGTGGAGATGAGAGCCTCGGATTTTTTCCCCACTGATTTGCCTGTTACTGCTATGACAGTAATAAAGTAACGGTGGTAGAACTTCACTTTTTGCCTTCAAAAGCTTCTGAAAGGCCATGAGCACCGGGCTGTCCGGGCCCTCGCCCAGCCGTTGGGGCTCTGTCCACACGCCGGTTGGGCAGCTCTTCAACTCGGGCCCGGGGGTTGTGAGGAGCAGCTTCGCGTTCCTCCTGAGCACAGTGGTGACACCACCGAGGGGCAGAAACTCCCCAGTCCGTTCCCCAGCCCGCTGTGCTGTGCGGCTGTTGGAGGTGTGATTCCTCTCCTCGCTCAGCGTACAGCCAGGCACGGCAAAGGTCACCAGCGCAGCAAACGGCTCGGGCGGCGTCACGTAAAGCATCACAGACGGAAGGCTGAACAAGCTTGGAACTTCCTGAGATGTTTTGGGGGAGCCGTGTGCTCAGTTCGTTGTGTCCTTCAGTGTAATTTGGGTACCTTTGTGTATTCTGCTTTGCCATTTATAAGCCTCTCTGGATAGCTGAGAAATACCTCTGGAAAAGCGTCCTCAAATATGTTCTTAGTCTGGTGGTGCATAAGGAGATAACCTTGGAGATTTGGCCAGAAGATGTCTTGCTACTTCTCCTAATGGCTCGGAACTCCTTGCAGAGGGCCTCCTGCCTCCGCACGGCCGTCTGGGCAAGGTGACCCCCGGCAGCGGAGGTGCGTTTGCACCAACTTCACGGAGTAGCCAGTGTGTCTTGCACGTAAGGAAGAAACGTAATAACTTTAAATTATTTAAAAGACAGGTTTATGATTTAAACCAGGGATAGCTGATCTTGATGTGTCTTGCATTCCTTGACGTTTGGACGTGTGTTGATGGGAATGCAGTTTAGGTCAGGCGTCGCCGGCCGCAGCCCGCTCCTGCGGCGTGGGGACCGCGCGGGGCTGCCT